TTTTTTTCTCTGTAATTTCAAGTTCTTGACGAACAAGATCAATTTCACGCTCAAGTGAACGTTGTTGAATAATAGAAAATAATTTTGTTTGTTCAATATCTGATATATTTTGTGATTTTTCCATCGAATATTATTTAAATTAAATTTTACTTTTTTTTTGTTTTTAAATTTTAATAATACATACTAAATATTTTAAAAGATCATTTTCTTCTTGTTGCATAGTTTCAAATACTAATTGATGTATAGATAAAGATGATAATGTTGTTGTTGTTATTTTTTGTTGATCCAATTTTTGATTAATATATGTTACAATATAATCAAGTTTAGAACGAAATGTTTCAATTTCATGTTGTAATTCAATATTTTGTTCCATAAATTTTTTTGATAATTCTTCAGCTTCTAATAAAATATAGAATTGAATTAATTAATTAATTATTTCTATTCTCTATGAAAAGTTTCAAAATACAAAAAAAAAATTAGTCTTTCTCATATTTAAGAAAATGATAAATTAATATTATTATATTTGTTAGAATATATCTGAGAATAAAAGTGAATGTTTTATCTCAAAAGTATACAAGTCAACATATATTTATCAGTATTTTAGTATCATTAGAAGATAATAAGAATGAAGCAAAGATCTTCTATAGAGAATTTTTTACTATAATTTTGATATCAAATATCAATTTTTTTCTAGGAATGATAAATTTACATTTAAAAAAAAAAGAATTGCTAAAATTAGAAGTAACTTAACAGGAAAAAGGGAATTACGATATTGAATTACAAGCCTAACGTAAGAATGCAATATTCTCCGTTTAATAATGATCTTTAATTTTGACCGAGAATTTTTTTTTCTTCTCTTCTTATGTCCATCATCAAAACTATAGTTGGTATATCTTATTGTTTAACCTCAGACGAATCCGTACAACTAATTATAATAATAGTTGAGAAGTTCGATATACGATAGTTTTTACTAAAGATATATCTTCTTTGTTATTCGATAAACAACAATAAAAAGTATACAATAGAAGAAACCATCAACTACGACATTATTATTATTACATGTAACTAATGTCCATTTCAGAGTTAAATGGACGTGAGCATTTTTTGAATAACTTTTGATAGGAACGAGTTAGAGATCTTCGGTTTTCACCGTTGGAAAGAGCAGATGAAGACGCATCGAATTATATATATAGAAAGATTTTTCTAACTACTTTCCTATAGGTTTTATATAAAACTTCAAGAAAAACAGCATGCTTCTCATGGTCATGATATCAATTTATTGATTTTCAGGAGTGCTCTAGAATGGCCAACGGAAGAGCTACAAAACTATATCAAGACGCTGTTCCTAACTACTACCAGTATGATATATAAACTATCGGAACACAATTTACCACCTCATTGTTTTTCAACAAAATAATCGAAAAATGTAAATTTTTGTCGTATTTTGATAGAAAAGTCACTTTTTTTAACATAGGAGAAAAAAGCAATTCTTTGAAAACTTTTGACTAAATCTATAGGAAAATAGTTAAAAAAATCTTTATAGTTCGATGCGACTTCATCTGTTCTTTCCAACGGTGAAAATCGGAGATTTCTATCTCGTTCCTATCAAAAGTTATTCAAAAAATGCCCACAGCCATTTAACTCTGAAATGGACATTAATAAATTTTGTACAGTTTTGACTCATATTTAACCTATTTTATTTCATTGCTTTATTCTTAAACAAAATTCTAAATACGGGTATTTAACTAATTGATGTATGTTCTTATGCAGAAGCATAATTTTTGTAAAAAAGAAATTGAATTTTTATTTTGTGATTAATCTTAACGTTTATTATAACATTTACTTCAAATCTGCAATAGGTTTTTAGATTTAATCTTACTGCTAGTATATATGACTATAAGAAATCAAATATATAGATATTTTACATATTCCAATCAAAACTATAAACAATGAAATGAAAAAAAAGAGAAATTTTGTTTTTAACAATTATAAAAAAAGTTTACAAAATATATTTTGAAATGTAATGACAGAATCAAACAATAGTAAAAATCTCGAGTTCAAGATTAATCCGATGAGCTCTAATAAAGATTTTACTAATCGAAAAAAAAAACAAAATTCGATATCAAATTAGCCTTGTTTCTATTGTTATAATTTGATTATATTTGAAGTTTGTTAACTGTAGAAAAAATTCTCCAATTAATCGAAATTACCTTGATCAATAGTAATCACAAGGTTAGTTTATTTTGTATAATGAGATATGTAAAAGTATACTTCATTCATACCTTGATTAAAATTTAGATTTAGATGAGACTTTGAATTTTTCATTATTATAACGTATACATAAAATATACTTATTCTTATTCTTATTCTCAATTACATATAGAATCCATTTTGTTGAATAGTAAATAGGTTTCATAGGAAAGCAAAAAAAAAAATATGACCATTAGATTTTTTTTTCTACAAATAAAATATTTGATGTCTATTATTTTAACTTTTAGAATATAATCAAATTTATTTATTTATTTACTTGATGAATAATATTCATCATTAATATGATTATTTATTTGAGTTGATCGTGTATATGTTTGATCAATAATATGTATAAGTCGATTAATATGTTCATTTTTTTCTTCAACTATTTTATCTAATTGTCGTTTAAATTCATTTTCAAGAAAATGATTTTGATTTTCAAGTATAAGATTTTTTTCTTGAAGATAATATACATCACGATGAGCATAATTTAGTTTTTCACGTATTTGCTAAATAAAAACAAAAAAAAACAATTCAAATGTAATCGATCTCTAGATCAAAAAGAAAAAAACTATCAACAAGATACTTATTACATATAAATAGAATAGCCGGGCTGGGAAAGATATCTTACAAGTGTTTAAAGAATGCAATAACAATATGTAGAAATTAAATCTCATTCCCATACACATACTTTCAGAATAACAGTACAACACAAAAAAAATATATATATGTATTTCGAATACATAAAAACATATTAGTTATAACCTTTTTTTTTT